TCGAGAATTCATTGTTATCCCAACCAGTTGATATCAATTTAATTCCTAAGAGTTATGTACTTGTTTTGAGTCTCTAATGTAGAAGTTATAACCAAGTTCATTCATGAAACGGTCTAAATGAATGATATACTGAACGTATGTCCTCTTGATATGTGTAACACTTCTATAGCTACCAACTTCCACACAACCTGATCCCTATCTGCATAAACTCTGTTCATTCTCAGCTCTCTCCGACGAGTCCCATGTGCCTTCAGTCTTGGCTTTCTCTACCAGTCTCCAAAGATCGCCAAGTCCCTGCAATTGGATTCCTGTCTGGCAGTAACCGTGGCTGTCAGTTTCAATCAACTTACTATTGTGAAACAGGTATTAATATATTATAGAAGTTGAAATACAAATTTGTATATTTTTCCTTAATAACCCCCCCCTCCCTTTCCTTAAGAAACCAGAAGTACACATTACACTGCTATGTTTCATGTATGCCACAAAGAGAAGGTCCAAAACCAATAAGACAGCAATGCAAAAGTTGTTGTCACTACACTGCTCTATTATATTGATAAAATCAGAAAATACTTATCATATTTGGGGTTTGGAAAAACAGCTTGCTCTTCAATTGAATCAGCTGTCAAGGGGTAGTCTTTCTGTTTTTGATAGGGCAATAGATGTTACAAATATATTTCAGTTCTGCATATATTTATCATGATATAAGAAATGCCTTTTTTACTTTAGAAAATGTTTTCTAATTATTTAAGGTTCATAATTTTTTTAAGATCAACATATTTAAGATTCTTCATGAGATCTTTTTCTAAATCAATAATATTCTACTGTACTGTATGTATATTCCCACAAGGTACTCCTGACTTCTGAACCATGAGCAGATCCAATGTCAATCTGCACTTTGAGTTCATCATTGTGGGACTGCAAATCCCACATGAACAAGACACAGTACTCTTCATCACCTTTCTCATCCTCTTCCTGGCCACATTCCTGGCTAATCTGCTCATTGTGGTATTAATCTCCCTGGACCAACAATTCCACACGCCCATGTACTTCTTCCCTTGGAACTTGGCTCTCTTAGACATACTGCTGTCGACCTCTGCCATACCCAAGATGCTAGCGGGTATTTTAGGTTATAAAACCATCTCCTTCTCAGGTTGCTTTGCACAGATGTACTTTCTCATCTCATTTACAGCAATTGAAGGATTCCTTGTTGCAGCCATGGCACATGATAGATATGTTGCTGTAGTGAAACCACTGCATTACAACACTTTAATCAATACCAAGGCCTGTATTACAATGATATCCACAGCCTGGGTACGGGGTTCCTAGGTCCTCTATTGTCAGTAGTACTGGCAAGCACTTTGCCATTCTGTGGTTCAAACTTTATCCTACACGTTGTTTGTGATTATCGTAGTGTAATGTCATTAGCCTGTGGTGATGTTACACCTCAAATCAATTTTGCCCTGTTAATTGCCATGCTGTCAATCTATGTCCCCTTTTTCTATGTCTTATGGACATACTGAAGAATAATAGCATCAGTAATGAAACTGAAAATTATGGAGAGCCATAAGAAGGCTTTCTCAATGTCCTCTTCACATGTGACTATCGTCTTTCTGTACTATGCTTCTGGTGCTGTAGTGTATATTCGGTTGAAATTGGATAGGATCCCTCCTGATGGACGTATCTTCATTGATGGACTGAACTATTTCCTCACTCCTTTGCTCAATCCTATCATTTACAGCTTAAGAAATGAAAAAATCAAGGCAGAAGCTCAGAGGTACTTTACTGTCAGACCATGTCAATAAGAGATAGTGTCAATGTTGTCAATAATCAATATGTAAAAGGGACTAAGGTTATTTTATATATAAAGGTTTATAAACATTAAAATAAACTTAAAATAAAACTAGAAACATGTTTTTTACAATCCAATAAGAAAAGTTATAACATGCAAATCTATATTTTCAAATCATCATTCATATACAGTTATCAATGTAACTCGATAATGTGGTTTTCAGTAGAATAGTATGGGAATAATTAATTCTCCCAGGACATGTTATTGTATTGTTCTTATTATTTAATTTGTATTTGATCATCAAACAGCAACAGTCACACTGAGTAAAACCATTAGGCATCAAACATCCCTGAGACATAAGCACAAGTTAAATTAATGACAGTGGGTACATGGTATATTGTGATATTAACCAGTACCATACTGATATTAACTAAAACTGTGCTTCTACTAATTAACACTCTCCTGACATTCAATGACCTAATACAGAAATAATACAGAAATAATCAGTACTGTGGCAAATAAGGCTTCTAGTAACAATTTTTAATATATTAACCAATATGAATATCTAAACCATATACTTTTCTTTCAAATGTACAACAATATACAGTAATGCATTACATTCTGCGTTTTTAGAAAAAGTCATTGGAGATATAACCAAAACAGTATAAGTATTCATTATTCAGATCCAGTCATTCAAAATGAGAGAAGTACGCTGCATTAAAATGCGGTGGGCATGGAGCAATATACAGATGCAGCCATTCAAAACGAGCGAGTTATACCGTGTTAAAACGCGGTGCGCTTGTTGCAGTATAACACGGGTTACCGTATAATCCCGCATAATACCGCAAGTAAAAAAATATTATCCGGAATTTCCACCAGGTGGAGCTAATAAAGCTCAACCTCTCATGTATAGCGTTTGAGCTGTCGCCAACAAAGTTTTTACCGAAGATATGACTAATAGTATTAATAATGAATGACCTTGGACAAGCTGTAAACTCAAAGTATTACTTTATTTTTTAATTGGTCGTCTTCGTAAATGAAGACTTTATTTTTTTCATTAACAAAAAGCAACAGCACAGCATTTCGTTGATCCAATGCAATGAAACCTATAATTTGATTCTTATGGACGCCCGGTCACGCCAGGGATTAAAAAAAAAAACATGCAATCACGTATCTAAAGAAATAACAGTATACTGTAACTATGTTCATGCACAAACAGAAGCATGTTATATTATTAGTTTGGGTGTCTCCTCTTGCCAGAAAGCTCTAAATTGCATTTTGAGTGCGTTTTTTAACTTTTTTAAAATTACAAACCATAAATAAACCTGATACTGTTTAGACTTTTAATTATTTTAAACTGTCTTACAGCAGCACAATGCAACGTAAATCGCTACCTTTGTCTTCTGCATAATTATGTTCAGAAATAAGAAATTAGATTGCTTATAAATCTAATCACTTATTCTACATAAACACAGCGTAATTGCTCTCTGAAAATGCTCTTTTTCTTGTTCATTTTGGAGACCTCGATCGAAACTGATTTGAGATGTTTATATTTAGGCTCAGGATTCCAACTATAAATCGTACACTAATTACTAGCAGTAAATACTGATGTTTTGCTCCCTCTTACCACAAAAATATATATGTATTGTAGCTGGAATGAACTTTTTTTCGTACATGTCTCTACCTACTGTGACTCGAACAAGCACCCAGAGGTGGGAGGTGTGTCGTTCCGCCTCCATAACTGAAATGACAAACAGGAGTGGTGCTGCGCGGTTTTCATCACTCTCTGTGGGAGTGCTGGCTGTGATGAATTAAACCGGTTTCACAGGTATTTTCAAAGTAGAAGGGTCTTGTTTTCTCTTTTGGGTAGACTTGACTATTTAGCTGTGAGATATACAATAGATTGTCATTAAACAACCTTATGTTTATTACTCTTCCTTGTTATGCACAGTGGGAGTGGTAATGTAATGGGAATTAATTTAATCACAGAGATCTCTCTGGTCGGGGCGCGGGAGAGCCAGCAGGCAGGCGGTGGGTGACGGAAAAGAAAATAAAGGCAGCTTTTAACTCCGCAAGTCTGAGTTTTTGTGTCTGTCATCGTTACACTATCATTCTGTCCATCGAAAACCTGTTTATATGTGACCTTTCAGAACACCTGTTTTCTTCCTAGCACAATTTATGAGCGCTCTGTGATTAAATTAATTCTCATTACATTATCATTCTCACTGTGCATAACAAGGAAGATTAATAAACATAAGGTTGTTTAATGACAACTATTGTATATCTCATGGTTAAATAGTCAAGACTAGCCAAAAAGAGAAAACATCGACTTTATTTTAACTCCAGCGAAAGTTTTAATGGTTTTTACTTACCATACTTTTATGGTACATGACTTTTCTAAACTGTATTTAAAAATAAAAACAATTACAAACGCCAGCGGAGAGAGAGAGAGAGACACACACACAGTTTTTCATTGTCAAAAAGTAATTGTTTTTTTTAATTTGTCAGCACCCAGACAAACGCAAACACATTTTTAATAAAATGCTTTTATTCATTATTAACAGCCTGTTAATAAAATTGTTGCAATTTTGTTCAGGCAGTTCTTCCTCCCAGAATTTGTAGATCGCATTGATCAGTTCTTGCTTTGTGCTGGGTTTAGCTCGGTGACATTGGAACACAGAGACTCAGACATCCGTTGAATGGAAAGGGACACTTTAATGTTCTGTACAGCTGGCAGAGCACCCCACCACGCCTGCGCGCCATCAGAGAGAGAGAGACACACACACCGGTTTTCATTGTCAAAAAGTAATAGCTTTTTTACTTTTGTACCAATTTTTTTACATTTCTCTTGTTTAACAGGAATGTTTTGTTTCTGGACAGACTGTTAGACTAGAGGAAAAGAGTGCCTCCTTCTTTGAAGCATTTTGTTGATCCGATCACAAATTCTTTTCCAGTCGCATGAAGTAAGTGTTGAGAATCTCCGATTCACCATGCTACTAATGGTTTCTCGGAGATTGCAAGGCAAGGCACTTTTGCCTCTGGACCCATCGAAATTGGGGTCCACCCCCAGTAAATTTCAAAAGTAACAAGATTTCGAAACAAGAGGGGGCGTAGCGGTTAGCTCTCGCTTTCCCATCTATAACGATGCACTGCAAGTACAACCCCCCTTGAGAGATGGGCAACAGCTGGATATCTGGGAGAATTTTTCGTCCCACTGGCGTCTGTGAATTCCGCTCTGTAAACGGTGCTTCCTGAGGGGAGATAGACGGCGGGGACAGCATCAGCCAATTCCTGCGCGGTGGTGAGCAGAGATGCCGGGATGGAGTGTCCTGAGGCGGTGTGTGCTCTGTGGGGGGCAGAGCTTCTGCCAGGCATTGCAACATGCACAGCAGGGAGAGGCACTTATCGGGAGACAGCTGCTCTACCGTTTGACTGCCGGAACATACTGTCTCCTTCTTCTGCATCTTCAGGAGTGTCTCTAGCCTCCCAATCCTCCCCAGTTATGTGTTGTACGGCTCCCGCTGCTGCTGAAAAGTCTCCATACAGGTGCTGCTTCTACAAGTTGGCACCCTGGCCAGTGGTCGAGAGCAGAGACCCACAGCCTGTGGCAAAATAACATAATTCATGTCAGAAATAAAATCACACAGTAGTATTCATCAGTTGCGGAACAGACGTTAAAATAAACTTTTCTTTTCATCCATCTTACTGCTTTCTTTTTTACTGTCCTGATGGTTGATTTCAAAGATTGTTTCGCCCGTGTGGTGTTTTCCTGAAGAACAGGCTGCGAAGAAATATTTATAATTGAATGTATAATTCAAAGACGGCAATAATACCTTGTAATATGCGCTATAATTGTATATTTCAGATGAAGCCTGCTGTATTTGCTTACCCTTCGCTCTTTGCAAGCTGGGGATGGCAGAAGCACCTCGTCTCTTCCCGTAAAAGGTCTTGGTCTCCATACTGTACTATGGTCGCTGCAGTGCAGGCTCGCAGTTGGTTTATTTATGCTATATTCTCATGTACGGCTAGAATGTGTTCATTGTCTTCCAAGGAAAGACACGTTCCTTTTGCCAAAGTCGAGAGACATTAGAAGCTTGCCACACCCGGACTGTTAAACCAACGCATTAGCACGTTAAAGCTGCAAGGCCAATTGGCTGCAGCAAATGTGAATTCTGTCTGGCATTGCCAGATTGTGAAAAAATAAAAGTATTATAATAAAGATGGGGGGTAAAGGAGTCGTCTCTATGACACTCTCCCTTATAAAATTAACGTGAAACAAAACAAAAACTAAAAATAAGATACAATCTACAGACATTCACAACATTCAAAACATACCTGACTGAGAAAGCTTTAGGGAACTTAACAGGTTTTAAGGCTTTCTGTGTTTCCCTTCCAAAGTTCAAAGAGGACACTGGGTGTTTCCTGGATTTTGCTGGTTATCAAAGATTTATTAATTACATCACCACCACTGACCGTGGGGCCGTGGTGTGAGACAGGGCTGCAGCCTGAGCCCAACACAGTTTAATATCTATATCAA